CCTTGCGTCCCCATTTGTAGCTTCTCAGCCATACTATTGTATTTGTTGGCTTTTCTCAGAAAAAAAAATATCTTTACATTGAGTAAAAGTTAAAATCAAATCATTGTTCGAATACGTGTACAAAAAAAACAATAAAACTAAAACTGAGGCAAGTTTTCTTCGTTGGAAGAAGATCTCTTTCTTGGAGAAACTTTATGGCGGTTTCTTTATCATTTCATTCCGCGCAACTAGGACTCATGGCGCAACCGGTAACGCGCTAGCGCACTACGTAAGAGGGAAAAGTTCGGATCCGCCGTGGACCCGATTTCTAGTTGAACCTAGGGGTGGCAACTAAGACAAAAGTGCCCGCATATGTAACATAACTGCTCTGTTCTCAGCTTGGAGCTCAGCTCGCTAAAAATAATAATAGATTATATAATTCGATTCTAAAACATAAATAATAAGGCTAAATGGTTATACAAGTAGAATAACGTACCAGTGAGTCGTGCCTTGTTTTGGCGGAATCATCGCTTTGTTTGTACAACTCCTTCTAAAATTTAATTTTTTAAACATCAATGTTTAGGGCCGTTAGGGAGAATGTAGAATAACGTACCTGAGCGTCCTTTACAGATTCTATAAGTTCTTTCAAACTATAGGATACTTCTACCTTGTCCTAAATAATAAAAGATAATCACTATGAATAAAAATCAGTCATCAAAATATTTTCCTATTTAAAAAATTACGAAAACGCTACCAGTCGTGAGTTCGTCGAGCAGCAACGTTTCTGATATGCAAGTGGAGAACAGAGAGAAGTTGGGATTTTCTATAATTTAAAAAAGCATATAAAAAATAAAAATTAACAAACGAAAGCATGAAATTATTTCAAACAAACATTCATTGAGAATGAAAACATGTCTGTGTTTATAAAACGATGAGTAAGCTGGAACTTCTTAGGCAGTATCAGCGAAGACATCTTATGATAAGATTATTTACCAAAAACGTCACAATTTAAGCAAACTTAAATTCAAATGCATGCATGTTGCACCACGGCGTGTCAACTCTAGCTTTGAAAAATTAGTACCGGGTGTACGCAAACTTGCGTGGCAGTACGCTGTTGTCGGCTAGGTGCTATTAACGTAGAACGTAGGATTTTTTAATATTGTTTTCTGTTCTGTTTTTATTTTCGCGTCGTACGAAATGTCACGGCGACGTCACATTGTTGGTATATGAGGCTCAGACGTTTGGCTAAAAGTACTTATATTGAATCAGTTGATTTGCAGCACTACTTCTCTCCGGCTTTTTCTTTCCTCACCAGGATGTCGTGCCATGGGCGACTTGGACCTGGAGGAGTTCAAGAGTACTAACGATCTGATTTGGGACGTTCTCTTTCATGGTAATTTCACTAGTTACTGTTTATTTTGTAATTCGATTTCTTCATGTCCAGTACAACCACTCTGTACGCATTATATGACCCAGAAATGATTCGTCTGCGTGAAATCGGAGCGGTTTGACTTATTTTGTCATGAAAAATGAGCTTTTCTCTAGCGAAAAACTAGTCATATTGAGGAACTTACTGTATCACAACCAAGCAATACATGACTAGACTTGATGGAAGATAGAAGAAGAGCTGTAGTTATG